ACTCCTGCCAGCAGCCAAGGTAACCGTCAACATGTACACGTAGCACACATTGTATTCCAGAACAATGATCGACAGTGGAAGCGCAAAAATTCAAGTGCCGAACGGCGTCCAACCAAGTCTAAAGCAAATAAGTTAAAAAATTTGAGATAGTCCATTGTTATTTTTGACAAACGTTTAAATAGTTTTCACCAAATGCCTAGCCTGGAGTGAAGATAACACTGTTGATTCATGACTTAAAATGAAATAAATAACAGATTTTTTCTTTTCTTTGCTTTTAAGGTCCGACCGGCAGCAGCCAAGGTAACCTTCCACACATACACATGGTGCATTGGACCCCAGAACAGTGATGGACACGGAAAGCTCAAACACTCAAATGCCCAATGGCGTCCAACCAATTTTAAAGCAAATATGTGATAAATTTGAGATAGTCCATTGTTAGTTTTGCGTTATATCTCACTGATCATTTTAGCCGAGCAACGGTTTTCCGACAGTATTAGGTTGCATGATTAGCAGTTCATCAGACAGCCACCAGCTAATATACACTTCACAACCTGTCACATGATCCAATAGTCACAGCCGTTTCAAAAGTATTCACCAAACGCCTTCTTTGAAGTGACAACAACACTGTCCATTCATGACTTAAAATGGAATAAATAACATGTTTTTTCTCTATTCTTTGCTTTGGAGGTCCGACTACCAGCAGCCAAGGTAACCGTCTACACGTACACATGGTGCATTGTACCCCAGAACAATGATGGACAAGGGGAGCTCAAAAGCTCAAGTGTCTAACAGCGTCCAATCAAGTCTTCAGCAATTATGTGAAAATTTTTAGATATTATATTGTTGCCTGATATCTGACTGATAATTTTCGCCAAGCAACGGTTTTACTACCTTGTAGTAACGAGAGTATTAGGTTGAATTATTAGCAGTTCATCAGACGACCACCAGCTAATATCCACTTCACAACCTGTCAGATGATCCCAAAGCCACAGCCTTTTTAAAAGTATTTACTAAAAGTCTATTGTGGAGTGTAGATAACACTGTCAATTCATGACTTGAAATCGAATAAATAACAGATTTTATTTTCTCTTTTCTTTGCTTTTAAGATACGACATCGAGCAGCCAAGGTAACTGTTGTTAAGATATGATTCCTCTCTGTTAGCTGGATTTGAATGAAACAATGTAGAATGCTATTGAAGGTATTTCCTGCTTACTGTGATTACAATCACCTTTGGTAACCCCTCACCCCCACTACTTTTATGACCCCTCCAGAGGACATGTCAACATCAAAAGAGGAACTGTTATCTCAAGTATCTGTGTTGCAGCTATTAAGGGACTGCGCTTTGCTATGAGTACTATTGATCTCAGTCTCTTTCCTGAACATTTGTTTGCACACTTAAAACAAAATATGTGGTGTTAAAGTTTATCTTCTTCCTCCTTGGTTGATTAACGGCCCCCCAAGTGTCTCTTCCGTTGTTCCCCCGCACCTTGGGTCGGTCCCTGATCGCTGTTAAGCCCCCCTGGGAAGACCTCTTATCTCAGGATGTATGCACAGCAGGGGTTCTGGAACTTGCTATCACACCAAATGGTGGGTCGTGGTGGTTTGGTCTCACCCCACCACTCCAAATGTCTTCCAGCCACGCCGGGTCAGATGTCATGTTACTTTCTTTGTTTCCGGGATTTGCATGAGAGGCGTACCTAACCGCCTCTCATTATCATATTGTCTCTATATAATCTCATGAATGTGTTTCTTCTACGCTTCCTGATTCAAATCTGGACCCCTCAGGAGCCCGAATCGATTCGTAAACTGCAGAAAATAAATTAAAACCCCTTCGAAGTAACTGTACATCGCCTCCAGCCTTTATTTGGATTGCCAACATTCTCCTCGTCCGAAATTCAACGAACACGCGGGAAAGAGGAGGCCGCTCTTCCCAACACTGTCTACACATACACATGGCGCATTGTATTCCAGAAAAATGATCGACAAGTGGAGCTCAAACGCTCAAGTGTCTTACAGCGTCCAATCAAGTCTTCAGCAAATATGTAAAAATTTGGAGGAGGTCCCTTATGTTTACCTGATATCTCATTGATAATTGTAGCCGAACAATGGTTTTACTACACTGTCGTAACTAGAGTATTAGGTTGCATTATTCGCAGTTCATCAGACGGCCACCAGCTAATATCCACTTCACAACTTGGCACATGATCCCACAGCCGTTTAAAAAGTATTCACCAAACACCGCATTTGAAGTGACGATAACACTGCCCATTCATAAATTCAAATGGAATAAATGACATGTTTTTCTTTATTCTTTGCTTTGAAGGGACTACTGTCATCACCCTAGGTAGTAACCTTCCACACGTACACATGGCGCATTGTATTTCACAACTTTGATCTGCAAAGGAAGCTCAAATGCTCAGATGCCCAACGGCGTCCAACCAAGTCTAAAGCAATATGTTCTCTTTTCTTTGCTTTTCAGATACGACTGACAGCACCCAAGGTAACCGTCTACAAGTACATGTCGCAGGTTTTTTTCCCAGAAAATTGCCCCACAAAGGATGCTCAAACACTCAAGTGCCCAACATCGTCCAACCAAGTCTAAAGCAAATGTGTTTCAAGATCTCATGTAGAATTTATATTTCCATCAAATAATTTTAGGTAATTTTAGACGCGCAACAGTTTTACTACAGTAAAAGGTTGAATGATAAGCAGTTTATCAGACGATCACATGCTAATGTCCACCTCACAACCTGACACTTGATCTCTTAGCAACAGCCGTTGAAAAAGTATTCACCAAACAGCGCATTTGAAGTGACGATAACACTGTCCATTCATGCCTTAAAATGGAAAAAAAAAAATCCTTTTTTTTTTCTTCATTTACATTTCAGACACTGGTAGCACAAATATTTTCCCAGCGTTGTCCATTCATAAATCATGACATTTTTTTTTTTTCACCAAACGGCTAATGCACAGATCATACTGTACATTCAGAAATCAAAATGGAATAAATAACATGTTGGTCTTTTTTCTTGACTATTTCAGTGACCGGCACTGAAGGTAACCTCCCACATCTTCGGTAGACTCACCTTGGTAAACGGGCTGTCACGTGAAAAGAGCTTTTCCACCTTTGGGACTCAAATCCCTTCACACTGTTGCCTCATTTACATACTGACAACGCAGCAACAGGGGCAACAGGGGCTTCTGTATCTTTATGGAGCAAGTCATGCTTCTTTCATTACTTTCTTAGCTTTATTCCTTTTGTCTATTGAATGGTGGGGGTTCAATTTTTAAAATATGTGATCCAAACTTTTTTCTTTTTCTATTTTAGACATTGACACATTTCTTGACCGACTCCAACTTTAAACCGTTCATCTTATTCCGACCATTGTTGGGTTTTTTTTTCAAAATTCAAATACAAAATACAGAAATTATAATTTTTGTCATTCCCTGCTTTCTAAATTTTTTGACCAAAATCAAAATGTTCAATTTTGACATTTTCTGCTCATTCCAGGCCATTGCATATTCATGTAAGTCATTGAATATTATTGCTGTCAAGCGATTAAAAAAAGTTAAAAGATTAAATTATGATGTGTAATTAATTGATCTAATTCATCGATATTTTAATCTCATCTAAAGAGTACTGAGAAAACCCCTATTTTCATTTTTAATTCATTACATTATTGAGGCAGATCAAAAGACAAAAAAAGTGGCATTATCAAGTCTTTCATTGTTTGCAAACAGACTTGAATGGATGCAGTCCTAGCCATTCACTTGCTGCTGGAGTTGAGACTCATCCCAAGTCTGACCTGCGACCTTGAGTTCGGACCACCAGCATGAATGTCACCGTTGTGTTTGTTTTTGTGAATCTCCAAGCAATGACAAAATAAAAATAGAACATCAGGTCCATAAAAAGTGCTTCGGTTAACATATCGAAAACAGTAAGAACATTTTTCTGAGCAATACAAGTACTCAAAGCTGAACTTATTTCGGATCATTAAAAAATAAATAAGAGACCCTTCAATCACAGTGCTGGAAGGTAATACTGAGAAAATAACACTGTTCAACATGAGAAAATAAAGTGCTGAAATAAACATCAACCACTTCTGGTAGGCTACTGAGTCAAGATCATGTATGGATGAAGATTAAAAGGTC